GCACAGAGGTCCGGGCCCCCAGGGCGCACCCCCTCCAGGCCAAAGCCCGACAGGCCCAGAGGCCCCGAGCCCAGCCCCAGACCCCAGGAACCCCCAGCACGCCGGCGGCCAGTCGCACACTTTTTTCACTCGTTTATCCTATTTTTGGATCAATAATCATCAGGTCCTGCACACAAAAAAAGAGTGAAAAAGCAGCCAAAGCTCAAAGAAAATCTTCAAAAAAAATAATGAATACTCGTTGAAAAAAAGCACTAAAGATTACCAGAAAATCTGTCTTTATTGAAGTAAAATATAAAGAAGTAAATGTGTTCATATCAGTATAACTTCTATCTTCCATTTCTCTTCGACACTAAAGRGATTTTGGATTTCATTGACGTTAGTGTTTTTCTCATAAAGAAAATTCAAACATGGCTGAATTGGATTTGAGTCGTGGAGCTTTCTCAAGATGTTGTTTTCAAAAAGTTTTTTTCCCCCTCATTCCCTTAACTTTGTCAAAGCTCTGAGGTCTTTCATCAGAGCTGTGGTAAGAAGGAACTAATCAGTATTTTCTGCTTATGCGGCTGAGCCGCGCCCTCTCTCATCCCGTCGCTCCCAAGCTACAGAAGCCCACATCTGGAGTGACATCATTAAGAAAACAGAACAGCAGACAGAGATCCTTTTAACAGATTTATCTCACATTACTTTTTAAAAAAAGACTGAATCTATGAAGAAATAGGAAACAAAAGGAGTAAAAGCTTTCCTCAGAGTGACCTTTCTAAAGTAAAAACAACTTAAAAGTGAGGGGTTGGCAATAACAGCAGCTTTAAATGTCTGGGCTGCATTCAGTACCTGACAACCAACCACACATGTCTGACACCGGCCTCAGCAACACGTTTATTGTCAGCACAGACCCCCCTCCAGGAACTGGATCCTCCTCTGGCTCCAGGCCTTTCAGAGGGGTTGAATAAAGGACAAAGGGCCGCTCGCCKCTGAGGGCGGCTCAGCAGTCTTGTCCTAATGGGGTGTGAAGACAAACAAATCACTGGGATGCGACGTGTTCCTGTCACTGATGAGCTCGAGTGATTTACACCTGAATTATCCTCCCTGATGAGGAATAATTAGGCTGGGATTTCTGAGCTCCATGGCTGCGTGGTTCAGTGAGTGGGTGGGTGGGTGGGGTGGAGGGAGTTTTACTGCTCAAAAGCAAACAGCTGATTTAAAAAAGAAGACACAATATAAAAGATCTAATGTTCTCAGTATAAAATGCACAAATGTGGCAGCTGATTTGGGTAACCCTTAAGAATAAAATTACTCAAAAATCCCATGCAACATGAAATATCACACTTAAATTATGTGATCCCACACCTAATTTTAGCTGCGGTTACCATCTTTCATTGAACCAACTCCCAAAGTTATACAGTTGTAGATCAGTCAGTGATTTGTACTACAAAGTTTCATTCAAACTCCTCCAGTGCTTCATCAGATACTCAGACACATTGTTTGTGTACTCCTTATATTTTCTCTTGTATTGTGCAGTATTTACTTTGCTTAATTTCATCATATTCACGTACTTTTAAGAGTGCAGCAAACACATGGTTGCATTAAATTACATTTTCCTCTCAGATCATACCCTCACTCTCTATTCTTAAATCATATTCTAGCTTTAAACATCACCGGTGCAGTTTTAAATTGCACCAAATTCATAAATGTCACAAGTTGTGATTTGAAAAAAAAAGTGAATACATGTTCACGATACCAAACACTGCGTATCACTCTTATTGCTATTTTTTTGCAACAACCTTTTCTATTTGTTACCCCAGATTTCAACACAATAATCCAAATATGGCAAGAACATATGTACAGTAAAGAGTGTGTAAAGTTTTGTTGTTCAAGACATGCCTTGTTTTATGGTTTTTGCTAACAATACGACAAAATGTAACATAAGATTTGACAAAACAAACGTAATGGGATTGGAAGATGGGGAAAATGATTCCCACTGATGCAACACAGCTTGTTTCCACTTAAATACATATTAACATACAGTACATATTACTTTTTTTCAAACATTATGCATGCATAGCACCTGTTAATTGTGGTATCGACCATGCACCTGACGGCTGCGTATCACCAGACGTGTCTGGCCTGCATGAAGCATTTTATGCATCCAACGAAGACCTTGTACACACAACCTACACCACAATTATCCAGACCTGAGCACTGGCGATACTATATCCATGATCTGTTATAGCTCATTATCAATCTGCCTCAATACATTTTAATGTTTCATTATAGGTAGAACTCCAAATTTGCTTAAGTTTGTTCATTGGGCCATGACTTCTTCCATACTCAACATGTTGTGAAATTCATGTCGCCATTTTTCAATTGCAAAACAATTTACCGATAGGCTACTTCGCACATTTTCCAATTTAACAACATGGTCCTTTTTTTGCTGCATGAAATGCAAGATTAGCTGTTTTATAATCCTTTTAGTTTGAAACTGAGCAGCTCTGTTGCTTAAAGAGTCAAAGAGTAGGTTTTAGAGACATCGTAGAAACAGCTTTAACAATTTGGCTCCAAAAACATTGCCCATCTGGACAATGCCACATTATGAAGCCATTCCAACAAAGCTCTAAGGAGCTGTAGGATCATATTTTTTAGTTTGGCTGGAGTTATGTATGCATGGTGTAAGATTTGAAGTTGTAACTGATTAAGATATCTTTGCTATATTTCTTTGTTACATCACATATGCTTTGCTTTCAGTCGATGAGATTGTGATAATCTAACTCATTCAACCCGTTGGGATTGAGTTCTGCTGTTTGGGTTTTTTTTCCTGGCAATAATTGACATTTTATACAAACCTAAATCCGTCCCTCTGTTTACAGCTAAAATCCTATATTTATTATCCAGTTCTGTTTTATGATTGGAATCTTCGTTTGAGAGCTTTGACAAAATGGATGCAAGTAGGGCGTGCTGTAAATAATAATAATATTTGTATTTGTAATATTGTGTTGTTTTCATATAATATTTGAATGGGGGTTTCCAGCAGCTGTAAAAGTCAAATCATGCCATATTGGACAAGATGCAAAGACAATATTTTCCTTAACTATTTTCTCATGACGTTTCTGCATGGAAAAACAYTTTAGTTAGAGAATATTATCCAACTTAGCAGGAGGACGGTGATGATGCCAGAGTAATGTAGACCAGTGGTTCCCAAACTTTTTATCTTCTGACCCACAAACTATCCATGGCAAAAACTTGTGACCCAAATATTACTGGTCTGAGTACACCAACTTCATTAATAACCCTAAAAACACAGGCTTTTTGACAATCTAAACAGCTTGTAACAAATTTAAATACTTATTTATAGTTATTTTGTGTTTTGTAATAATTATAGGGAAATATTACATCAGCAATTATTTTATTACCCTTCAAATTGATTTCTGGAGATTATCCAAGGTGCTTCATGACCCATAATTGGGTCCCAAGCCCAACTTTGGGAACCAAAGTGCAGTGGTTCCCAAACTTTTCAGCTTTTGACCCACAAAATAACAGTAGCAGAGACCTGTGTCCCCAGWTATTTTTGGATGATAAACATTTGTATCAGGTCAACTAAACATGGGCATAGTAACAATCATTTTTATGCTACATTTATCCATTTTAAATATACTAACCTCACTYCTTTTTTAACTGCTAAGGCAAAAATGTAATTAATTCAGAAAATCTTTTCAGGACCCCATCTTGATGTTTCGGGACCCCACTTTGGGTCCCAACCCCAACTTTGGGAAACACTGATGTAGACAGATTTTTTTTCCTTCACTGTTTGTTCCTCCATCCTTGCTCTAAATGAGTTGTAGATGTACACCGAACTTATTTAATTTACATTTCTTCAGTGATAAATGTGAAATTTTTACTAACAGACGAACCCAGGCAATGAGATATAGAACTATGATGATGCTCCTGCAGAAAACCCCTCAAACATTTTAATACTTATATTAAAATAACTTCACAGAATACTTTATTTGTTAGTGTTTTTCTAAATATTACATATATTATTTAACAGAAATAACCTATTATCCACTTTGCAGACAAAAAACCCCTTCTTTTTCTCTTATTACTAATGCAGCTCCAGAGGTAACCTGCGTCTCAACTGACGCTAATTAAACAAACATCAGTGGTAATGTGCTGAAATTATTCTCTTTAATCTAACTACAAGAATAAATCTGTTTTTTCCCCTACACCTGAAAACCAAAGGTGGGCACTTCAGCACTCACCCACCATATTTAATTTATAGTGTAATAAAAAAAAAAAGATGATACAGAATCGTGGGTGTTTGAAGACGTCCCGTGGAAAAAACGTGCAGTTGACAGGGTTGTAAAAAAGAAAGACAGAAAACCGAGTGAACGGGTTAATTTTGACTCATACCAGGCTCTCTGAGAGAAGTAGAAAAATGAGAAAAAAATTCCTCCGCCGCGACGACACACACATCGACAACTTTAATCCTCACTCCGCTCATCCCTCGACAAAACACCCATCAAATCGCACACATTTGTTAAAACTATCCCTAACCCTAACTCGCTGTTTGTCTTTTAGATATTATAATATATTTTAAAGAGTTTTGATAAGTTTCTAATCTCTTCATAGTTCCTCCTTGACTTCAGCGGAAGGATACAGTATTTTTTTTTTCCACTCAAACGTTGACTTCAGTTTTTTGCGCAGCGTGAAGAAGCGCGAGGCAGTTTTTTTCTTCCTCCGCAGCGCCGTGTTGATTCAGATTAAATTAACTTTATGGGTGTTTTTGTTGGCGTCGCAGTTTGTGGAGCGTATGTAAACGGGTAGTAAAGTGTAATAACTTGATAGTTTAGTGTTAAGGTTTTTTTTTAACCTCCGACCAACGAGACTTTACTTTTTTTTCTCCCTTTTTTTTGAGAAGTAACCGAGCAGGGAGGGAGGCAGCTCAACTTTTTGGGCTGACTTACCCTATGTGGATTTTACTGAAACTATGGAGCAGATACCCGGCCTCTCCCCGAGCAAGTCTGTTGCCCTCGTCTTCTGCTTCGTTGGGCTCTCTGTCGGTGAGTTCGTCTCTGCGGTGAAGATGGGTTATTTCGTGACCGGGTCAGGTTTTGTTGTGTATCTGCGGGACTCAGACACGCAGCATCTCTTCATGTCTGCCTTTAAAGTTCAGCTCCTCCTGAAAACCCTCCTGCCTGACGGCACAGCAGCCTCGTTTCGACTCGGTTTTCGGTAAATGTGCGTCTGCTGCTGCCTTTAAATGAAGCCATGGACCCTTCACTGTGAATTTATTATGATTTGGACGATTATAAATGTGTTAGTGCTGCTCCAGTTTTTAGYTCAATTCAACAGAATGGATATTATAGTTTGATTTTGATCAGAGGATTTCAAATAATCTTGATTAGAAGCTTGTGGTAAATTACTACACCTCTAAATGTGTTACCCTTTTCCTCTTTAGTAGCCCCTATTTTATTTAAAGCGCTTCATCAATATAAAGGAGGAGGAGCCAGGCAGATTAAATATATTTTAGATTAATTAATATGATTAATAAATACTGGGGTTGAAACATGTGTTGTAATAAAGTTGTCTATGCATTTTTTTGCCACATAAAGGAATAACTGTTCCCCTCTAGAGGCACCTGTGAATAATTTAGTAAATTACTGACCACTGTCAGAGGTCATTAGCTGGTCCTGTGTTAAAATGAATCAGGGGGATGATGAAATTTGTGTTTTGGAGATCATTTCTTTCTTGTAAAAATGCTTTTTGCCCATCTAATACTGGATACCTGGTTGGCAGCAAAGTGTCAGAGTAGCAACAGCAAAATAAGCTGTTTGGTGGTGAAGATTTGGCAATTTCTTTATGTGCATAACCCAGTATAC